GTTCCATAACCCTTACACACGTACGATGACGACTACCGACAACGAGATCACTTTTACCCCTCCAACATAGCGTTACATTTCCGTCGATTTCTCTCGCGAAAACCTCGTAAATTTCTTTATCCGTTTAAAAATACTTCCGTATTCCGACGAGCGCGCGTTCAAGTTTAATTTTACCTCAATTATTTCGCGACCTTTAGGGCGGTGAAACGGGTGTCCCGAGCTCGCAAACGGCCTCGAATTTTAATTACCGCGAACTATCCCGCGTCTCGACTCGCATAATACGTGCCTGCACCCCCTTCAGCGTGACACGCGTGGATAAAAAGAACGAAGGGTTGCCGAGAGCGGGGAAACAAAGAGATTCGTAGCCGCAGCGGGAACTTTTATATCGAGAGACGTCTCCCTCGAAGAATCGCGCGTGTCGACAGCAAAATTTATTTACAGACCCGAGAGACGGGGGAACGATATTATTTCGTTTCGACTCGCGTGTTTAATAAGTGCGACAGACAGATGTGAATTCGAAGCGTCAAAGTTTCGCGTTAGTTGTAGTTATTGTAGGGACCAACTACGGTCAGGACGATGTCGAATCGTTTCCGCGCATTCGACTATTCGTTCGAACGGTGAAATATTTTTCGCTAACGATCGCCAGAAATTGGGCTCTTACGAACAACGACACGGATTAGGTGACGGAGGCGACATTCCGTGAAAAATAACATTCGGAATATCTCGTAAAATACAGCGGAGGGCGACGTACAAACGTACGCGCATCCAGCCGCATCCGCGTCCAACGAATTTAGTAACCGGGATTTGTTCGTATTTCAACTAAAAACATCGACAAATTCAAGCAGAAAAAAAATACGGTGGGATATAGGGTTAAATTTTGACCGATAACAATGCGTCCCGTCGCGTCTATTGTATTCGGCGGCCAGGGAAAAGTAAAAATGGAAAAATTGTTTTCGGTCGACTAACGGTTTCGGCTTCGAAGCTCGTTAGGTCGACGACGGAAACGCAATTTCGATTTCGTGAGCCGTTTCTGCTCTCTCTGCTCGTTTCATCCCCTTTGAAAGATCTCGACGAGCCTGGTGGTCCGGTGGCGCGGTGCATAAAGTATGACGCAATCACATGCGCGCCAGACTAATAATAATAAGAGGGGTGTGGACGGGTTCACGCGTGACACGCGTGGCCACCCCCTAACGCCTAACACAATGTAACTTGCTCCGAAAGCGACATCGTAGAAACAAAAGATTCAATTTTACAGAGACACGGCGCGGCGCGGCGCGGCGCGCGACGTCATTCCGTGTCCCCTTCATGTTGCGTCGACGTCGCTTGGTTTCTCTCGACGAGGGTAGTTCACGGCACTAACGAGCTACCCCCTTCGATACGAACGCGAAACAGGCTCCCTGGTACGAGCCCGCACCACCCCGCAACCCTCTGCGCCTGGTTTTCGGTGGTAATGCGCGTTTCCTTCCTTCTGGCTGACTATAGCTCGCAAAGGGACGAAGACGGGACACGTTGATGTCGTTCGGGGCGAAAGCCACATCGACGCGACGCGACGCGACGCAACTGGGGGACCAGACCGAACGAGAGAAATAGACAACAACGGCGGAGAATGTTTTTATTGGATTGTCCGGAAAGTTGGTGGCAATTTTTAAGAAAAATTCACAGGAACATTTGAATTTTCATATATATATTCAGTGATTTAAACAAGTACCATTTTGTTCCATAACCTTTACACCTTTTAACCCTTAAATGGTCCAAGTTTCAAATTCGACACCGGACTCGTAAATCGAATTCTTCACTTGCAAATGGTCTGTTTTAATATTTGCATATTGTTCTTTTCAACAAAAGTTACAAGAATAAACGTCAACTGTGAACATTGTTCAAATAATAAATGCATTGATATTTTTTTTAATTTAATTTACACGTGTTATTTGTTTTCATCCATTCCGGTATATTCGAACCTGTCAGCCGATACAATGTACTCTAGAAACATAGTTGCTCCGATGATCTCGCAGCCAAAGTAAAAAGCAACAAATATCGAGCTTTTTCAATTCCCTGTTGTTCGACTGAAAAGAACCAATGAATATTTTAAGTTCATTTTTCGTGAATTTTTGTCCCCACTATGAAGATAAAAAAATGATACGAACCATCCATGGCTCGATCCAGAACATTCCGCGTGTTATTTATATCGAATCTGGAAAAATCGACCGCGTATATAACGCGTTTGTGTGAACGGACTTTGCCTTTCTTAAAAATAACATTTTCTTACGAAACCGCTCGTCTATTATTCCCGGCATCGATCTAGAAAGGCTTCCGATCATCAGAGCTCCGTACACTCCCAAACGAGGGCTTTAAGGATAACTTTAATTAAGAGTTTAACTGGAATTAGCGTTAACGAGGACTTTGCCGAGATCAAATTTTCATTATCCCGTATCCCGACGATGAAAGTGCAATTTATTCGCTTATGAAGTTATCTGTGATCCGGCGCACGATAGAAATTCAAAAGAAACGTAAGGAGACAAACGACAAACGAGATACGTACCGCGAGGCAACGGTGGCGGAAGTAAACGCGAATACCATCAGGAGGACGAAGGGACATCGAACGACGAGAGGACGCTGATGTATAGAAAGGAAGGTGTTCCGAGATGCAAACAAGTCCGCGGAATCGAGAGTGGAAAGAGAAAGGGAAATGCAACGAGCGAATAAAAATGGAGGAAGACGAGCGGAGTAGAGCGGGACGGACAGCTATCGCGGAAGGGTCGATACGCGAGAATAGAAACAAGATGGTTGTCTACGTTACAAAGCGGCATAGGCGGTGATAAAGATGCAAAGAGAAACGGACAGGTGTACGGAGGAAATCACGATGGTCGGGAAAAATGAAACGGGGAGAAAGAAAATCATAGAACAAAGAACGAGAGACAGATGTAGGCGAGGGTATACGAAAAGAGTGGTGAAATTATACAGGAATAAAGTATGCAGCGCAGACAGGTGGAAAGTAGATTACAATGGTCTCGAAAAGGGTAAAATGAAACGCGGAGCGACATCCGAAACATGAAAGTAAATCGAGAAGGACGGAAACACGGACGCGATGGATCAAAAAGGGCAGAGACGGAACGAATGAAAAAAATGAAACAAAAATAAAAAAGAAGAAGAACTCTCATGGAGAAAGCTACCTTTCGCAGAATAAAGAAAAAACCTCCGAGACGTGCGAGAGAATGTCCTGCAAAGAGCGGACAAGAAGAAGAAACAAACGAAGAAAATCGTAACAAGGTAGAAAAAGTGACGGGGACGGAGACGAGGGAAAGGAAAAAAGAGGGGATCCGCCCTTGTGGACTAGACACAATAGGACACGCACAATGCCACGGTGGATAAGGGAGGAACGCGGACGAGTGGCGTAAGAAGACAGGGTGGTTAGGGCGAAAGAAGAAAACGAGGGAAAGGAGGACGCGGCGTGCAAACCTTGGCGTTTACCGCAGCGTTCTTCGATCCGTGGATGTTATCGACGAGGTATATGTATACAAGTCTCGTTTGTACGATTTTCAATCTCGATACAGCTATGTACGAATTACAACCAAATAGGAAACGTAACACCGCTACACTTTCCTTCCGTTTATCAGCGTTTTAAAATCGATCGAGGAAATCGGTAGACCTCGTCTATCATGCGTGACATTCACGGCGAGACCATTCACGGCGCAGTCTATAAAGACCGCCTTTAAAGCGGACAATGCGCATTATGTACCTCTGGACGGAGGCTGATTTTATTGCATCGCATAAATCTCCTTTCAACGACGCGTATATTGGTAATAAATCATGTACGTCGGCGCGGAAGAACGGGCCGAGGATTTAAGAGTGCGTAGCGTAAAAAAATGTTTGGTTGACACAAGTTCTCGCGGATCAGCTTTGTCCAACGGAGAAAGTAATTTTTCGCTCGATAAAATAACACAAACGTCGATGAGTATCTTTAAGCGGTAATAGCGATAATCGTATACAGTCGGTCTCGTAAATATTCGTACCCTCTGTCCAATTTAAATGGCAGGCTTCACGTTTTCAAATCAATTTTCTGTTATAAATATATACATGAATAAACTTGACGCACATGCATATATTTACAATTATTACAAATTAAATTAGACAAATTTCTTGAATAAATATAGAGGGTATGAATAACTTGTAGGACTGACTGTATATTCGAGTGAAATTTAAAAAAAAAAAAAAACAAATCGATGCAAATAGAGACGAAAAACGATCGAGTTTACGTGGTCCGTGAACGGATTTAAGGGACGACTTGAAATATAATAACGATAACCTCGATACGAGGGGAAAAAGTACGAGTTCGTGCCGCGCGAAAGCACGCCTTTCAGCCGTGTGGACCACCGATCAATTATTCGAATGGAAAGCTTAGTCTATATCGTGGAAGTTTATCGAATCGTGGCAATGCACGGAAATGCATCGACGAGAGGACGCGCGCACGAATGCTTAGACCGGTTCGCTGGTAGCGTCGCGAGATCGAGGCACGAAAATTCGCGATAAATCTCGCGGCTGACTGCCGGAACATACACGAGGAACAGTCATTTCCGGGGAACTTCTGGTCGACGGACCAAGAATACTCGAGAGAGGAGAGAATCGATCGACTTCTGTCGCGCCGGAACGATGGCTTCCTTGTTATCGATGCGAAACATCAGCGGTCTGCAGAAACGGAGCGCACTTACCTCGATCGAAATCGCCTCGCCTCGCCTCGCCTCGCCTCCCCACGCTTCGCTTCGTTTACGTTGCACGCGCAATTTTTCGAACCCCGTAATACCGTGAGAATACCGCGAATAACTTTTAACGACCCCGATCAAATATCTTTTAATATACATCGCAGTTTGTCCTATTCGCGATAGCGATTTCAAATTTATTCGATGGACGATGACAACAATTTCGAGTAATTTTTTCTGTGTCTGTTACGTGGATAGAAATAATGAAAAATGGACGCGAATGCGAATGCGAATGCGAATACTCACCGAAATCGAATGGATGAAACTGCCGAGACGGAATCACGGTATCCTGCGAACAAACGAATAAAAGCATCACAATGGCTGTTTACCGAATGAAACCATGCGACAGTTTGACGAACCAATCAGACATTTCGAAACTAAAACGTGGAATTTCGTTTATTTTTCAAAACGATTGGCTCGACACATGCGGCGAAAGGCGAAAATGTAATTTTCATTGTCGAACGTTCTCCGCTATGCACCGCTCGTTGACTCGCACACCTACTACGATCCGAGTCACTAATCCGTGGCTGTTTACTTCCAACGGATTCTAATGGTTTCTCGCAGTGTACGATATCGCTTCGCGTTAGAATATCGAATAACGATGTTCGCGACGGATAACGGAGCGAGCAAGAAGCGAGCATTACTTAAAAATTACGCTTTTTCGAGGATCCGGCGCGTTTCAAGGACGAGCCTCGTCTCCCAAGGGTTCCCTCGAGGACCTTTTCATTCCCCATCGGAAACTTATAAAACGCTGATCTGGTACATTTCGTGCAGCCAATTTATTACCCCCGGTTTCTACCCTCTAGCTCCAGCTATCTAGCAGCTTCTCTCGTTCACCGCAATTTTGTATCAATCGCTCCTGAGGTTTTTCACATTTTCCCCGCTCGATCTCCATTGGGGTCGCGGCGAAGCGATCGCCACCAATATGCAAAGCGTGACAATGCGTTAGAAAATTCATTTTATCGTAGCAACCGCGCGTTGCAACGCTGAAATTTGCATGCGATGATTATTGCGCGAAACCGTAGCCATTCAGTTCGTTCGTCACGGTGCTCGATATACGTCAAAAGAGCCAACGAAATTTTCACTCTGCGATGTCTGATATTTCCGTTTGCATCCTCTATTACGCGCTCTGTTTCTTTCTCGCGCTTTTGTCGCTTTTCGTGCGCACTCCAGGATTCAAATACGGATTCTCGCACGTTCTTCGAACCGACGCCGACGCGAAGGCCCACTGGAACGAACAAAGAATAGTTCAGCCATCGATTTTTACGGGCCGTTTTCCGGCAGGCAAATCGTGACAATTTCGCCGATCGTCGATGCGGAAAATGAGTTTCAGCGCGACGGCAAGTTTGTCGGGTATTCGCGAGTCGTTCTGGAAACCTCGGAAGAGATACGATCCTCTCTGTTTCACGGAGAACGCGCGTTCTACACGGTCGAGAATAAAAAAAAAAAGTCAAACGATCGCGTGGAAAAACGACGGACATGAAAACTTTCGAAATAACAAAGTTTCGCGTGCCTTTTCGCGAGGCTCCGAGTTTACGAGGACATCGAAGAATCGAAGAGAATAGAGGTTACCGATGCTCCCGGTACTCGACGCGACGTCTTTGTAAAACGTAAAAATGATATTAAAGTGAAAGTCCGAAGACACTCTGTCGAGAGGCGCGAGGGGTTGGCAAGTTGACAAGTTGGCATGCTTAGAAGGGACAGATGCAGCTTCACCTGGCAATTACAATGGTGGTCATCTTGACCCTTGACCCTTCCCACCTTCTCCCAAGGGTCAAAAACTGAAATGGTTGACAAAAGTGGTTCTGTTCCAACAGAAAATGACCATTCGTAAATCTGCGAATGTTGAAAACTCGAAGCAAATCCGCAGCTGAGGTTTCGTCGATTCCGTCGATTTCGAGCAAAGTTCTTTGTTCAAAAGTAGCGATAAGTTTCTGCGGGAAATTACCGCCGCGGAAATTGCATCGCTAGACGGAAATCACACGTTGCACTTGCTCACGGTTCGACCGACATCGACCATCGATTTACGAGACTTGGTTTGAAAGCAAGATCAGCCGGAAAAAATCGGTTAACGTACAATGCTTTTTCCCCGGGAAATCCGATTGTCGCGGAAAAGTGATTCGCGTCGCGTATCGTTCAAGTTCGTCGACGCGATTCTTTCGTAATCAGATCCTTTCGCAAGGATCTCCACAACTAGTTTACTCTTTCATTTTTACGTTTAATCGTTCGCTATTATCTTTCAACGATTTCATGGGAATCCGTTGGATAGAATCAATTAAAACGACGCGATTCAACTGGTCCGATCTTTCGATGTAATCGTGGAAAAAACCGCCTATGATTCGTCGTTACAATTAAATTAATAAATTGCATTGTTGCCTGCCGAAACGTTTCGCTTTATAACCGTCCTCATTATACGATTGCCTTTATTAAAAATAACGCGTTGCAAATAAACGATATCGGATAAATTTAGTCCATGTGTCGCGCGTGTTGCACACATTCGTCGCATAACCATACGGTACTCTGATGTTTCCAATCGTCAAGTATCCCCAATTTAGCTGCAAACTAGCTCGATCTAGATTAATCAAAGTTTTCCAGCCGATCGTTATCGTTGCATTCTCGTACTTTGAAAATAACGATAGATCTTTGCCGTGCCAATACGCCAAACGTTTCTCTTTCGTCCCCTTTTTCATGAGACACGGTATATTACGTTTCCCGTGGATTTTCAATACGGATTACGGCATTCTCGGTTGAATACGGAACGTTAATAAATAAAGTATCGCGCGATATTCTATTTTGTTGGGTTGTCAGGACGTCGAGATCCGGTACAGCTTCGCGAATCATGTCTTATCGATATCTTCGACCTCGATACATCTAAATACTCCGGTTCTCTCGAATCTTTCTCGACTCGAACCGAAACGAACAATTCGTTTCCCTTGGCGATATTTACTCCTTTCGAAGCGTAAAAATATGCACAACTTTGCTGTTTGCGATTTTCGTTGAGACGGCCAACCGTTAACGATCCCAAAGGTGTCGAATGCCGAGAAGAAGAAACGGTCAAGATTAAGCGTGGCGCGATTCAATTTGCACCCGATCATTTTCGCCCCGCGAAATAGCGGCCGTTTAACCTTCTTCGTAGCGATGGAAAAAACTGGTCTATTCGGTGCACCGTGCATTCACCGCGTACGAAGAAATTCCACTCGAAAATTACGCGAGAAAGAACCGGAACACGTTTAGATCCCGCGCAGCAAAGGGAGAACTTGAAACGAGAGAGAAAAAGGCGACGAGGAAATTCCGAGGGCGACACGGGATGGCCGGAAAATGGTGGAAATCGGGATTTGCCCGTCCCGCGCAGATCGTTAGAAATTTCAAACTATCGTTCGTCTCGCGCTAATATGCTGCGTTATGCTGTATTATCGTAAAAATGATTTTTAAGTTGAATTTTTAAACAATAGCGACCCCTTAAGATTTGAAAAGAGCATAGAAGCACAGAATGCAGCGTACGGTTAAACGAATCTGCGATATCAACCGGATAGATTGCGACCGTTTCCAACGGCGTCGGCGCGGCGCGGCTCGGGTGTGTCGAATTTCAAGAGGAAACAGAGGATCGGGCAGAGCTGGAAACGGTGTTTCGGTGAAAGTAAAATAGAAAACTAAAAAACGCTCAAAAGCGAATGAATGGAGCAAGACAAATAACGTGGGCGAAACATTCGAGACTGGAAGGGAGTAAAAACGGGGAACGAGCGAAAGAATAATTGATCGAGCGGCAAACAAATTATACGAATAGAATCGAACAAGTGGAGAAGCTGAGAAATGAAAAGTTGAAGGAATCGAGCGCGACGCGATAGTTGGATTCGATGAAAGGAACGCCGCGCCGCGCCGCGCCGCGCCCCGGTCGCGAAGCAGGAGAACAGACGTCACGGAATCGTAGTCATCGTTTCGAGATCTATTAAAAAAATAATAATAATTTTATTCTACCGCGTACCGTTTCACAAAAGTTTGCCTATACCGTGCGGTTAAGCGGCCAGACAAAGTTTCGGAAACACCGAGTTAGCGGACAAGTTCTAGTTAGTACGAATAAACCGTTAGCGTTTAAGAAAACAAAACGAGTCGATTCTCCGTACCGTGAAAGCAAAATCCTCCGCGGGACTGTTTCGGGAACGAACGAGGAGAGAAGACGAAGACGAAGGAAACTGGGAAAGCGAGAGAGTGGAAAAGACGAGAGAGTCCGAGAGAACCAGCGGAAAAGTCACGTAGGCCGCTTTGGTCCGACGATGACGACAGAGACCAGGCTGCTTGTTGGTGCTCTTGCAGTCGTCGAGACATCGAATTATCGCAAAGTTTCCAACGGGGACGGAATACCAATGAATTCGGCGGTTCCATCCGCTGTTCGATGCGAGGATATCGGCCACTGAACGTCCAACTAGCGAAAATGTTGGATTGCTAGTCTGCTTCCCCCATCCCGAGTCTTCTTTTCGTGCAACTTTTCCTCCACGGGGAGTTTCTTTCGAATCTTCCCTTAATTTCGCATTACCGAACCGATGATCCCCCGGAGCCTGAGCTCCGAGCACCACGCGCGTTCAACGATACGGTTCGATGACCGGCTGACAAGCTTTCCGTTATATCATTTCTGTCGTTGACGACGCTCTGCTCAAAATTCTGCCTGAATCTACTCGTGACTTGTTCGAGTACAAACCACGTTCGTTATTAGGGAAACGTCGGCGTCGCCTCGTCAGCATGGAAAGTAGATTCGTCAGGGTTTCGAGGAACAGGCTAATGCTAAATGCTGACTTTGGCTGCTGCTTACGCACCGTGTCTAGTTTCGTCTCTCCATCGATAAATAATTCCCCTCGTTGATCAGCCAACATCCAACGTGTTTATCTATTTAGCGCATCTCGTACGTGATTGCAGCGACGGAACCATACGCTAATACCTATGGACCGATATACACGTTAAGTTGCCGTTGAATCGGATTCGCCGCTCCGCTTCGAGATATACATATACATATACATATACATATACATATACATATACATATACATATAC